AGTGCCAATTAAGGGAAACTTCTTTAAGCAGCCTAGTTGGGATCGGGTCTAACAGACGGTTGATGGCTTCGATGAAGAAATGATTGAAGTTAACTGATGAAGATCGATAGCGAAAACAGTCTAAATATACATCTAAGTTTACATTGACGAAGTCCCTGAACTTGGAGAGCCACTGATAACTGTTGATGGCAGTTGGTGATTAATTTTTTCTCTAATAGTAATAATTTTATTATGAGAAGCTCATGAAGTCATTGCTACTTAAGTTTATGGGGATATGTGGCTCAATAGAGCTGTGACTCTCTGTCAGCCTGGCTACAGTGCTAGAGGAACCTGGGTTGTTCTTTTTTCTTCTATTAGTGCTGAGTAATAGGCTCCTCTGGCATTACGGAGGGCCTTTCTATAAATCTTAGATCATCTTGCCAATTTGAGCGATATTCTGATAATTTGGAAGAGCGCCATTTCCTTTCGATTTCCTAGCTATTTGCTTTAACTGGCGGGTTTGGTGGTTATACCGGTGCTAGTTCCTTGTTTTATAATTTCCTTTTTAGGAGCGATAGAGTCTAATGTTGATCGTAGTGAGCCTGTAGCACTATCGACAAGATTATCATTTCAGAGGGACTAAAGTTGTTATGGACTCTGTTAAATTCGACATGGCATTGAATTAAACACTGAAGGAATCTCCTCCTTAAATTTGCTACGCACTGTCGATAAACATCTGCTGTAGGAAGTTTTGCCTAATGGCTTATAATCTAATAGTATGAATTAAAGTTACTAAATAATGGTCGATAGGAAAGGTTATGTGGGAGACTATTAAATGTTCAATATCAATGCCATATGATAAAACAAGGTCAGGTGTGATTAAACAATGGTTGGTTTATTTACACTCTGACGAAGCCATTGAGTCTATTAATGATATAAATGCATTACTAAGGCTGTCATTGTCAACATCCACATGATATTAAAATCACCTACATATTACTTTATCTGATTTAAGGACTAAGCTTGATAGAAACTCTGAAAATTCAGATATAAAATCAGACATCATTCAAGTATTTACAAAGACTCTTCCGTAGAACAGTGTTTTTTTTGTAATAGAGATAACATAACAAGCCACAACCCCACTTTCAATAGGACAATACATTCAACATGGCAACCGTTAAGAATAAAAATAATGATGATGGAAAATGATAAGCAATGGTTAACAAGGAATAACAAACCCACATCTATTTAAAACAGACTTCCTGTTGCTGATATAAATATTTAATATCTATGATATTGGCAGACATAAAATTGTTTATTATATGTATAATTAGATATGGATGTAGTTTCAGTGATGTCACCTAGGTCTCTGAAGAGCCATTGTGAAGATCAGTGGCCTTGGGAGTCCTGACTTTGGTGGCTCCCAGCTAATCCAAAAATGGCCAAATACAGGGAGGATGGGTGGAACTGAGGCGGGCTGAGTGAACCCTAGTTACTGAAAACTACTGCCTGTGACATCACCCACCTGTCACTTCTGTAACCAACCTCAAGTGGCCATTTGAGGACCTGCAGTTTTAGGTACTTCCATGCTGGCTTTCTTTGCCAGCCATAGAGGTTGCCGCTTGGCCCACACATGTATTGTACCAATCAAATTGCAGTACCAGCACCAAAAAGTCCTGCCCTAAGAGAACATCAATATAGTGCTGTTACTGCAGAAAATAAATGTATCGTTCTCTGTTGGATGAGATTTAATCCCAAGACCCAAATTGGAATATACTGTTGTTGATTTAGTATTGAATCTTTGAAATGCTTAATCTTTTCTCTTGGTAATTCTTATAATCAAACATTTTGCATTTGGGATAATATCTGCTGAATTCAAAACTTGTTGAAATTAAATTCCTCATTTTCCTCAAAGCCCCTTAAGGCCTTATCAGGGGGGACCCTGGAGCTGAGGCCGGTTTAAGATTCCCTCTTTAGGTGTAGATTCTGCAATGTTGGAGCCAAACAACAGATGCCAGTATTTCTCCATGCTTCCACTGCTTCCTAAATTCCCCACAACACATGAGATGAAGGAAAAAAGGCACCACATGGATTTAGAAAGGGATTTGAATGGCAAGGACATCTGGCATTTGTGTGGCTTGAAAACATGTTGAGGCTGTGTGACATGAATTAGGGAATTAGTTTGAAAAGCTACAAAGTTACTAGTTTACATGTTCTTGATGGCTGTGTGACATGAAGTGCAGAGGAAAGTATCAGAAATTTAAAGACAAGAGGAAAAGCAAAGCAAAGAAATAAATCACTATTTCAATACATGATACATGTTTAGTACTTAGCATTTACTGAAGTGAAGTAATAGTGAAGAAAGAGAGGAGAAGCATTGTCATGGTGTGTAAAAACTTAGTGCTAAGTGGAATGTAACGTCACATACAGGATTGTTTCTCTTACAATTACTAGTAACAGCTCTACTTTATTAGCTCTACTAGAAGATGTCAGGCTCATATGGGTTCACAGGTCTGAAATATAGTCATGGGTCAACTCCACCTTCATTAATATTTTATAATACACTCCACATACAGGCAATCAATGTAGAGATTACGCAATAATTTCAGTTTAGGTGTTATATGTATTCTTTTACCGGCTCTTGTGAGTCGTCTTGCTGAAGCACTCAGAGCAATTTTTCTTCAACTGTACTGTGTCAGGATGTAATAAAAGCATTAATTACAGTTTCTAAATGCCAGTTCCACCAGTAGAGCAGCAGGATCAGTCTGTGGTTATGGGGGTGATTATGAGATAGGTGCATGGATTAACAAGGGAGAGAGATGTTGCACTCAGTGCCATTTCTGTCAAGATATAAAGATAAAATCAATACCTCTGCTGCAGTGTCCACTTACTAGCCTCTTTTGGAACTGTCAGCCACATTACACAGCCTTCAGAGGAACTGTTGCAGCATAATGCAAGGTGTTGGTGTGTGACAGTGTGATGTTTCTGCTTTTTGAGCTGTTTATTGATATTAGGAATTATTAATTTTATAGTCATTTTGGGAACTCAAAAAAATAAAAATAAATGATTACCTGACCATTCCATCTGTTCAGTTGTAAGAAGACTAGAATATTCTTGTGTCAAAAAGTGACCACAGGTTAACTTTGGCCATAACGTGAATATATATATATTACTATATATATATATATATATATATATATATATATATAATATAACAGTGACCCCTCCACTGAACAATAAGGATTCTACATAGTTTTCTTCTTTTTTCCCAACATTTTTAAAACACACAGGAAACCACTCAACGTGATAAAATAGTGTTTTAAACTTTACTGACTACAGAAATGTTTGCCTGGATAATGTGACATCCTCATAAAGTATTCTGAACACTTCACTGTGTATACAGCTGATGTTAATTGAAGTTCATGGTTTCAGTGCTAATTGGGCAGGCTGGACATTATAGGACTGGGCCCAGGTCTCCGTGGCCAATTTTATTATAGACTACTGTATCTGATTGAACATATTTTAGTTTAATGGTTCCTGTACTCAAATCAAATTTACTACCATTGTTATTTTTCTCCCTCAAAGGGATCGGTCAAGTTTTATTTTGAAACTCAAAACCGGAAGCGCTCTTCTGTATTTCGGCTAACCTGATACAAGCGCAAACTCCACGTATCGCGAGACTTCTGGCATATAGCCACACCATTGACAGTATATTTCCGGAAAGTTTGTTGTGCTTGAGGTAAGTGTTAAACACCTGAGCGTCATTCACTTCCAAAAAAGTGACACAGCAGAGCTCTTTTTTAACACTTCCGGTCACTTAAGGCCTAAACACGATTCAAAGAGGACAGTATGGAGCAATGAGTGTCTGTGTGGTTAAATATGAAAAGTTGTCTACTAATGACATCTCGAAGTCCAGTTGCTGTCAGTCTTTAAGTTAGAGTTCTCTGTGTAGGCGCCTGTAAGAGCTGCATGAATGACAGCTTGCCATACAACCATTAAATCAATTGTTTGAGGGTTGTGGATACAGAGGTTGCAGTGTTCAGATCCTTTACTGAAAATATCAATATTGACATGTACAAATGCTCTATTTCTGGTTTTAATCCTGTAAAATGTAAAGGAATTTATTTTATAACTGTTTATTATTGTATTGTATGATATATTTAGTTAAATGTTATGCACACAGAAATAACAGAGAAAATAAAATGGCACATAGTGACAGTAAAATGAATAAAATAATAATAATAATAATATTAAAAAAGATAAACCCCTAATAATCCAAAATAAATATATTAAAAAGATAAGAAAATGGTCTACGATTGGATATGCATAAATGAAGGGGGAAAAAATACAGGACAGAGAGAACTGTATTAAGTGAGCATGCAGGCAACTGGATTTTCTCTTTAATATGGATAAAGGTCCAGTGTGTAAAATTTAGGAGGATATATCGGCAGAAATGGAATATAATACATGTATGTTTTCATTAGTGTAGAATCACCTGAAAATAGGAATTGTGTTTGTGTCACTTCAGAATGAGCCGTTATTATCTACAGAGGGAGCGAGTCCTCTTCTTTGGAATCCGCCATGTTAAACCACTGTGTTTCTACTAGGGCTGCCCCCTAATAGTCAACTTAGTACTCAAACTCTGTTTGGGAGCTGCACCTTGTCACCTGAATCAAAGTATGTGGGGATTGTTGCAACACAGACTTTTTCTCTTGCAACATAGTAACACACTTACCGGTACAATGTTGCATATACTAACTGTACTAGCTGATGCCACTAGCACAACTGAACTGACTATGCTCACAGCCTCAACGGAGGCCAGCTGATTTCCAGTGGCTCCAACCAGAGCTAGTTAATTTGTGAGTAACTGTTAACATTATATATCCATCAATAAGTTCATAAGTATTTATGTTGGTGAAGTTGGAAGTTATTTATTATGTGTTTTGACCAATGAGAGTGTTAAAAAAAATTATATATTTTTTTTTATTGCCTTTAATTGATAGAGACAGCTGTAGAGTCCCAGGAAAGTGGGAGATAGAGAGGGGATGGCATGCAGCAAATCAGCAAGGACAGCAAGGTACATGGGGCGCCAGCTCTACCAGGTAAGGTGCCCCATGCTGATGGATTTTTATAGTAATGAAATAACTTCCAACTTCACAAAAACCAATACTCACGACTTATTAATACAGGATGAGGTACTCCTGAATGTGAGTTGTTTGAGTCGACTATTAAGTGGAATAGACATGTAAAATTAAAGTAAAGTACAAGTAGTTCAGAATAATAATTAATTTACTTGGATTTACAATCCAAGCAATCCACATTTGCTGAGTGTGACTCAGCAAATGTGGATTGCTCAAACATCTCAAATGCATAAACCTCAGTTAAGTTTTTACAATGTTCCTACCTGAGGGCAGACACACCATCACATCCTACCTGTCTAATACATGTAAAATACACCATTCCTGCAGTTCTGTTGTATAGTTTTTGGTAATTTTAGACATGAATGTCTAAAGTCAACACATCTGGTTTCACAGTAAATGGCTATCCCTGCCCGTACATTAAAATATATTTATAGTGAAGCACACTATAACAGTGAAAAAAGTGGACCACTCTTGCTTCCTCTATAACACAGTCCACCCACTCCACTGTAAACTGTGTTAGCAGCATCAGCAGTGAGGACATTCTAGGATATGTAGATGCTGTTGGCTGCTGTAAGAAAACCAGTGGGTGTGTCTATAAACTACAGCTATATCATCATTTGGTGTTATTTCTCTCCTCCAGTGTTTCAACAACATGAAGTCTGCGTGGCTGCTGTCCTCTCTGCTGCTGCTGCTGGAAGTGAACTGTGAGTCTCTTCAGGGAAGCAGCAAGCCCAATTTTGTCCTGATGATGGTGGATGACCTAGGAATTGGAGACTTGGGCTGCTATGGCAATACAACACTGAGGTAAAAAATATTGCCATTTTCTCAGAGGGGCTGGATGGCTTGAGTTTATTTTTACTTGTGTGGGTTAGAAAGATGATTCACATGACCAGTCACTCACATGTTACCTTTAACCTAAACGTTGTCCTGGGGAGACTGTAACCTCTGATACTCATGCCTCCAGGAAGGCATCCTAACCAACCAGTGGGACTGGTCCCAAAAACATGTTGCTGACACACATGCAGTGGCTCCTTGCAGGGTTTCAATGAATGTTTTGTTTATTTGCTCCAGTCACAAGTCAAGTTTGGTCTGTGTCTGCTGGATGTGTAAAAAGCCAATTGCTGACACATTGATCAAGTATCTTAATTAGATCACCATATGGCAGTGTTGTGTTGTGTGTGTGTGTGTGTGTGTGTGTAGCTGCCTCAAAATGGATCAAAGCAAAACAAAAACCAATGGTTTTCAGTGTTGTCATGAGCTCTGTTAAAGGGCCAGTTCATTGAAATGACAAACACACATATTTTCTGTCTTCCCCCTAGCTGTATCTGTATCTTTGGTTTCGGTCTTAAAGTCCTAAACTTTGAGTTTGGAGTCCTACACAAGTCATAATGCGGTCTTCCCCAAATGTAATGCCATTTCACAACAAAACGAAATCAGTCTATCTGTATGTATCAGTATATCTTTGGTATATATTTTTTTCAACTGGCGCTCAGTAACGTAACGCTATTTCTTTATGGTTCTCTCCTGTAACTTGATTGGATGCTGTCAGATTGGATCGATTTCTTGGTTGGTGTCTTTTATTTCAACATGCTGTATACGACTTTCAGACTAGATGTTGCACTAGAGCACCAAAAGAGCGAGTGCTACAGTCCACCAGACTCCATTAACAAAAACACAGATTTTACCTCGTTGTACGTAGTTTTACCACTTTCCACAACAGCAATCACCAACTCTGGTTTGGTCAAAATAAACCCTTAATTCACAGAGTTACACGAGAAAGTACTGTAACGGGCTGCTATGGCTGCCATGTTTAGTTAGCTGATCCTTGGGGATGAATGTGTCACTAACAGGACTTGCTCAGCTTGTTATTGTGTGCCTGACAACATTATGAAAATAATCCTTACAAGCCTTTTTATTAAAGTAAAAAAGTAAGATCTTTTTTGTTTATCCAGAAACAGCCTGTTGCCACCAGATTAGACAAAACAAAAAAAGTAATTTAACCTTGTAGATAATCATAAAACACACCATTCAAACTCTAGTCTTTAGTCTTTCCCATTGACATATTAAACGATGGATGTTGCATTGAATCTTGTGCTGGTGACGTCATTTGGAGACAGAGTCTATGCAGTAGTAATGGTGTTGGCATTGTGGTATTGAAATCCCACCGATACGCCCGGCCGACTCTATCATGAGCAAAGCTAGTCAATCATGACGTTGAACCCCCTTATAGCTTCAAATAACTAATTAAAACTTATCTTACACACACTTAAACTTATCAGAAAAATAAACACATCATACATCAGTGTGATAAGAACTAACTAAAATGACAGAAACCATCTTTGGGAAAATGCTCATCCACAGGCAGATGGAGTATAATGTCATTCTTTGCTCTGGAAATTATGACTCCACTATATGTTTACATAGCAAATAGTTGTTTGCTGCTATATTAATATTCTAAATCTCATATATACAACCTTTAATGGACTGAACCTGTAAATTGGACACAAGCTGTTTTCACTGGACTTTTTCCCCCATAATTTTGGAAGATAAGTTGCCCTTACATTCAGTTTCACGCAGAAATAAATGGGACTTTGAAATCTGAATGTTCAACCTTGACTATCAATTGTTTGCAGGACCCCAAATATTGACCAGTTGGCACAGGAAGGGGCGAAGCTGACCCATCATATCGCTGCAGCAAGCCTCTGCACTCCCAGCAGGGCAGCATTTCTCACCGGACGATACCCGATACGATCAGGCCAGTTCAAAGACACCAACATAAAAAACCTTTACTGACTGACACAGTGCTTAATGTTGGTCTTCAGGCAATATCCACACACAATAGAACTGTTAAATACTGTCACATTAAACAGGTTTTTACACTTCCTGTGGAAGTCTCATTTATCTAGTGTGTGATTTATTTATTTTTTATACTTCTTATACTTTTACAGCCTTTTTAATGGTAAGTGACAGCAAAGGGGGAGAGAGAAAGAGAGGGGATGACACGCAGCAAAGGGCCACAGCTCAGATTATGGTGTACCAGGTGAGCTATCCAGGCGCCCCTAGAGAACAGTCTGTCCACATACAGTACACTGTATTCCCTAACCCTTACGAGAGATCAGATTTTTTCCTACCCTCGCATAGTAGTTTGACTTTCAAACAGAAAGTGACAGCTCTAAAGTGTTATGTGATTTAAACGTTTTTTTCCTTAATTTTTATTCATAACAGGTATAGCCGGTGTTGGCAGACCTGGTGTCTTTATATTGAATGCAGCCTCCGGAGGTCTTCCCAGCCAAGAGGTTACCTTTGCCAAGATTGCCAAAGAACAAGGCTATGAGACGGCTCTTATCGGTAAGCAGCAATTATCCTTCATTTCACAATTTAAGTGTGCATTTATACTCTAAATTTGGAATATTTAGATTTGATATAGTTAAAATCTTAAATTATATCTTAATATTTCTTCATCATGTGTGAACCTACCATGACATCACACATTGGTTTATGGAGTACCAGTCTGAAGCCTTTAGTTTGGCATTATGGCCGTGGGCATGCTGGCTTTTTGCAGCCAGTGGCAGTGATGTATGGCGAGTTGAGCTTCTCTCATCTGAGTCGAGAAAAAGGCCATGCACTGAATCTTGATTCATACTTGATCAGCCCTGCCTAGTTTAACAATTTGATCTGAGCTTTGTGCTTTGCGCTGTATGGATTCACTGAAAATGACTTGTCAATCAAAAGGTAGCCATGCCCTAAAGCATACCCTGCTTTATTGTCTATTTTTCTCTAAATGGGACCATAATTTACTAAATGAACATCATGTTTGGAAGATGAATTAAAACTAGCCACTAACCCTCCACCAACACTACTTTTTTCATCTTGCCATGCTAAACAACTTTATAATTGGTGGTTTTTCTCATTGAAACATACATTGGTACCATCTGTTGAGAAATCAAATTTTTTTCTTTTTGGGAAATGCACAAGAACGCTAACTTAGAGGATCAAAGAGAAACAGTGGGCTAAGACTTGAGACTCAGGATCAAATTTCACCCTACATCAACTCGACGGCACCAGGCCAGAGGCAGGTCTGATGAGATTTGAAGTGGAGAAACACACTGTTTTGTTTCCTTTATGAGTAAACAACGTTGGGCAGGCAACTCGCTGAAGATGCTGTCAGTGGGATTTGAAGACACACAGATCACAGAGCCAAACGCAGATGCAACGCCTTAAAGCTGCTGGAATTTTCTAAATGTTTGTGCCTTTAGCTGTTACTCTTAAAATTTTCTTTCAATACTTAAATTTTCATTATTTTCTGTCTTTCTTCTTCTCACAGGAAAATGGCACCTAGGACTTAACTGTAAGAGCAGTGACGACCATTGCCACCACCCCAGTATCCACGGCTTTAACTATTTCTTTGGTATCCCCTTGACCAACATGCGGGACTGCCAGCCAGGACATGGCACCGTGTTCCAGTTCCATAAATATTTGCCATGGAGGACACTGGCCATTGTCTTGCTCACTGCAGCCTTACTCCACTACAGTGGCTTTATCACCATCCGCAGATGGACGATTCTGAGCCTGCTGTCCCTGTTGGTGATGGTAACAGGTCTGTTAGCAGGATTCATAATGGTTATTCCATACTTCAACTGTGTTCTCATGAGGGACCACAGAGTTGTGGAGCAACCGTTCACATCTGAAAACCTGACTCAGAGGATGACTCATGAGGCAGTGGACTTCATAGAGAGGTACATGTCAGCTTTCCTGATCAGAAAACTCTTGTTTTGTTGATGGGATTCTTTAATGGTCAAAATTGTTTCCTAATGCTTTGCTACACATAACACTTTAGAGAACATGCATTAAGGAGAAAGAAAAGAAAAAAAGCTGTTACTGTAAATTGCTGTCCTGTCTGTCCTGTTATATTTGCTTGTAATGCTGGTAATTAAACTGTATTTTCTGTTACTTCAGGAACTCAGCAAGGCCTTTCCTGCTGTTTGTCTCTTTTCTCCAAGTGCACACAGCCATGTTTGCTTCAGCAGCATTCAGAGGAACGAGCCACCACGGCATCTATGGAGACGCTGTCCATGAAGTGGACTGGAGTGTAGGTGAGTGAGCAGAGTCTGCTTCATTTAATGTATAAATCTTAGTTAGTGTATTTTTTGTAATTGTTGACAAATCCAATGAAAAGACCAAACTAACAATGTGTTAGTCCATCGCTTAATAAATTCTGACTTCCCTACCCTGTCTGCGGCTCTCAGCTCCTACTCAAGACATAAATCTTTTAAAACAGTTCATAAATATAATTTTATTTAAAAAAAATGCAATCAACAATTTTGTAAAGAGTAACAAATAATACTTTTTTTTAAGTAACTCCTAACACTGTTGCACATTACAGTAGTCATTTCATCCATTGCACATAAAATAATTTATTAATGCAGCTTTAAGGAGCTATTCTACACTGAGTTTGTGTTTTACTGACCTCTGTGGGTAGAAAGGTTCAAAGGTTCAAGTGTTTTATTTACGATCACACCCAACTATGATATAGTGTTTTCCAATAGTGCACAATTGTTAACTTTTACAGAGGAGCAATAGGAAGCATACAAAGAAAGCATGTTGACTGGAAAAATCACAAACTGGTATGGGATGTGCACGGCCCAGGACAGGAGGACACTGCAGCGGGTAATTAAAACCGCTCAGAACATCATTGGTACTCAGCTACCCAGCCAGTGATATTGGGGAGGTGAGGTGCCTATGCAGAGCCCAAAGTATACTAAAAGACAGAACACACCTGTTCACCCTGCTGCCATCTGAGATGAAGTACAGAAGCTTCCTCTGTTGTGCCACCAGACTATAGAGCAGCTTCTTAGCTGTGGTCAGAACTCAAAAGTGCACCACTCTTGAACTTTGAACTCAACCCTACAGGACATAATTCCTGTGGGGTACTATTGTTGCAGCTCTGGATGATGGCTCGAGATCGAAAAGCTGCAAGGTGAAAAAAATAATAAACAGCCAGGAAGAAAAGGAAGTAACAATTCTTTCCCATTCAGCAAGCAAAACAGAAAGCAATTATTGCCCTCCCCTTTGTGCTGACACAATACTAACACTAATTACACATTCATTTGGAAAACAGGCCCCCACATTGAGTCCAATGTTCATGTCGTGGGGCAGCTGTCCTTGAGACTGAAAAGCAATTAGAGCAAAGAGAGATTTCAAATGACTGCAACAGAACCATATAATAATGAAGGACTAGCAGACATTATTATTAATTATTATCAAAAATGTATCTGTTGTCTTGTCACTAAATTTCCTTCGTATTGGTAGGGCTGCTCGATTATGGAAAAAATCATAATCACGATTATTTGGGTCAAAATTGAAATCATGATTATTCAAACGATTATTTTTTTAAACTTCAGAAACATGCTGCATTTATTGGACATTTGTCAAAAACACTTTGCAAAGAAGTCCTCAGTTACACTTTCCTTTCCCCATAAACATTTGTAAGTCTCCTTTTTACATTGACATAGTGCACTCTCGCAATCTCTACAAAAAGTTAAATGAAATAAAATACACAAAAGATAAACTATAGAAAAACAATTTGTGACTATAGAAAAACAATTTGTGACTGACTCGTGCAGTGCATGCTGTGGGGGAGGGACGGAAATACCCATGCGCGAAATACGCAGACTGTGGCTGTGTCCCAATTCAGGGGCTGCATCCCTGAATTGGGACACAGATTTTTTTACAACATTGCACAACAGAAAATGAAAAGATCATCGTTTCCCCCGATTTTATTAGTTCTGAGATTGATTGGCCCCAAAATCGTAATCATGATCAAATTTCGATTAATTGAGCAGCCTTACGTATTGGAGATGTACTATTTTTCATATCAGATATTTCTCTAGCCAGTCTTTTGCTCTTTTTTGTCATTTGCATGAACTCTAAATTCACTAATGTTTTTAAGTGACAAGATGCATGTAGTACCACTCATGTCACAGAAGTAACACGAGTGCACTTTCTACACTAAAAGGTCTTGTTGTTTGATTGACCGATTGATTAATCCGCCGCTGGTAATGGTAAATGGTAAATGGACTGTACTTATATAGTGCCTTTCTAGTCTTTCTACCACTCAATGCGCTGTACACTACATGTCACACTAACCCCATTCGCACACATTTATACACTGATGGCAGTGTCATACACCAGTTTGGGGTTCAGTGATTGCTCAAGGTCACTTCGACATGCAGTGAGAGAGGCCCAATAGCGAGCTTATCTACATCAATTGTTGGCTAGCTAGTTACATTTGAAAGCCAATGTTGATCAAATAAAGATTGATCCCTTCTGTAGCCAGTCTCACGTGTCAGTTTGAGTGACTCATATAGGCTAGCCTAGCAAGCATATCTGAAAGAAGAAAGTTGACTGAGGCTCTGTCCGAAGCTTGCTCTACTACTGTTGGAGCGCAGAACAAAAAGGGGTGGGACTTAGGAAGGGTAAACTATCATAAACCCTGCAGTTCCCCTCAGTTCTCAGAGCTTTTTAGCCTCCTTTATTGTTTGGACCACAACTTTCCAGTATGGATCACTTCAGGGCTCTCGTCAGTCTGGTATCCAGCAGAAGCAGACAGCTGTTTCCAATGTAAAAGATCTGATCAACCCAGTATGCACAACTGACCAGCACCAAACTATATGTATTAAAAAAAAAAAAAAAAAAAAACGGGCCTGGAGGAAAAACAACAAAACCCATTAAGCGTTGATCTTAATGAACTACGCTAATTCTTTGAAATGTGTATTTGGTTTTTGGCCTTCACAGTGCTGTTTATGTGTACTGCTTGATGTAAAGTTTTCATTTGTAAGTGAGAAGAGAATATAAAGACCTTTAACTTTATTTTTGTTGCACCTAACTTTTGTTTGGCCCCAGGTTCTGTACAACTCAATAGCTACTATGAGCGACTCTCTATTACATTCTCTTCTTGAATGTGAATATGATATTGGGCTTGGGGGTAGAGGGGGAGGGTTAGAATTACTCTAGCTGAGATAATTTTTTTCCAGATACATTACAGGATGGAAATCTAACTTGTGGACACCGTTTTATTACTCTGTTGTCCAGCTGCCAGAATCCAGGTGGGAGAAGCTCTAAGATGATCAAAATATTAATATGCTCATCTGAGTCTCCTTAAGTTATTCAGTTATTACCTTGCTTTCACAGCATTTACACTTTACCAGCAACAGCCAGAGTTTCACCTCTCAGGCAACACACAGGTTGCTCCAGGGAGACTCCTGACACTTGTTACAAATTACAAATACTTGCTCATAAACTATCAAAATAAAATACAAAATACTGATATGAGAAAATGTAATTCATTAAAATAGACGTAATTAAAAATACATTCCATAAATTCTATACAAACTCATAACACATTTATGGCCCAACAGGACATCACATGATTCACTTCCAGAGATGCTAATTGTTTTGATAAAATGTGTTTATTTAAGTATAAAATAACATTAAATAACGTTTTTTAAGTATTTCAAATACACAAATACAAGCTCTTAAAGTATTTTGTGAGAAATAACAGTGTGTCTGCTCAGCACATTACAAAATACTCAAAAGTCATATAATTGAAATACTGCCCATCTCTGTAAGTATCACATATCTATCAGGAACAACGTAAATTGGGTTCCAGTGTTAACAGGAACAGTTACCAATAACTTTCAGTGTACATATTTGTTGTATTATTGTGTGAGTATTGTTGTAAGGCAGATTTGAAAATTAAATGTGAACCTCTCCTTTAAACTCACAGCCATTGTTTAATTTGAGTTTCAGTGTACAGGAGTACAGAACCAACAACAAAAATGTGTCCCAACATTTACAGACTGCACTGTATATTGTGTCTTATTTTTAGGTCAGATCATGCAGACTCTGGACAGACTCAACCTGGGAAAAAACACTCTGGTTTATCTGACTTCAGACCAGGGGGCACACCGAGAGGAAATCTCTACCAGAGGGGAGGTCCATGGAGGATGGAATGGAATTTATAAAGGTACAGCATGACGAGAAACAGGAATTTAGATATTTTAGATTGCTGTCAGAACCTCACATTTATTGCATTTATAGCAGCAATACATGTTTAACAGCTTTAATGAACATTGAAAATTCCCTTCATCTGCAACAATTAGTCAATTAATTGATTAGTTGTCAACTATTAAATGAACTGCCAATTCAATTAATAATTTAAATGTGAATATTTTCAACAACATTTTATGAATGTAATTTGTTTATTTTAACAAATTATGTCAGGAGTGTGCTGGTTACTCAGGACAAACCAGTTCACCACTACTCTGTCAATCATTTGAGACTGGACGCCAGACATGTAATCTTAATGTTTGGACTCAGCAGATCTGATTCAAAATGCAGTAAAAGTTTTGTAAGGCAGCAACTGTGTGATATGCTCTGTTATCTGTGCAAGTGGCCAGGCCTAAGAAGCAGACCTGATTCAGCACCGTTTCAAGAGTGCTGGATGTGAAATGCTGTCATGACTTTGTTTTTGTCTTTCTTGTGAGCAGCAGGGAAGTCCACGAACTGGGAGGGAGGGATCCGGGTCCCAGGAATTCTGCGTTGGCCAGGAAACATCCCCGGTGGTATACAGGTAGACGAGCCCACCAGCAACATGGACCTGTTTCCTACAGTGGTGCAGCTGAGCGGAGCCTTGGTCCCAGAAGACAGGTGAGGCTGTGCAGCAGTGACACAGCATGCCTTCCACGTCAGAAAAAACAAGTGGAGCCTGAAATCTAGGTCACATTTAAAAAAGAGAGAGTCAGGGTGAGCCTGAGTGATTCTCTGATTGAGATCCTGGATCTTACCACAGTAAACATGCTTGCTAATGAGGGGGGATTATTCAGGTAATCCAGAGGCTTTGATCAGAGGGTTTCATCAGCCATTGTGATTCACAGTAATGAGCATTAGAATGTGTTTGTGTCAGACAGATGATTCACTGTTGACTTCTGTCCTCTGGTGTGCAGGGAGGTCGATGGTCATGACCTCATGGATTTGCTTCAGGGGAGAGCTGAAAGGTCCAATCACGAGTTCCTGTTCCATTACTGCAACGCCTACTTGAATGCAGTCAGATGGCACCCCGAAAACAGTAAGACTAAACCATCACCCAATCATATGCACAAACTGTTATCCACAATATCTTGTGTATGGACAACTGACAGTATATATAGTTAACAGAGCTTCTGGGTCTGTGAAGTGAAGCAGGTGTGGAACTTAGTGTCTTAAACATGCATTCTATGTAATGGCCAGCAGGGGGCAGCCCCATTGGTTGCTATAAAAAAAACAATAGCATGCAGTCTAATGGAGAAATTAAACTACTTCTCACTTGATTTATTAGCTCAGTAAAAAGTTTCCTTATGAGTTTATGGTCTCAATTCCTAGTTTCTCAAGTCTTCTTCCATACAGCATGAATTGATTGGAACATAATTTACTAAATGGTTCATTTCGTAAATTATGTTCCAATTTAGAGTAAAATAGATGGTAAAGAAGGGTATGGTTTTGGGCATGGCTACCTTTTATAAAATCGTTTCAGAAACATATTTTTGTGTACTCTTTAGCTGTAATACGAGAACATATATGACGGATGAGTCAAAACTGCTCAGTCAATGAGCACAGCTCAACTCACTGTATGTCCCCTCCACTGATTCTGACAAACCATCATTGCGATGATCATAATGCCCAACTCGATGCTTCAAAACGTTACTCCACAATCAAATGGGGATGGACTGGGGTTGGGTATTATGTTAAAGATTACATATAAGATAAGACACAGAGAGACTTTATTGATCCCACACAGGGGAAATTGATCATGATCATGATCACATGGTATGGAGCACAAACAAAATTAGAGATGTTCAAATACAATTTTTTTCTTTTCCAGTAGCGATTCTGATACAATTGCCTGAAAAAAAAAGAAAAGCCTGTATGATTGCTATCATTGTTGAATGGCCTGACTCAGGTTAAACCCTTTGTCAGAATCAGAATAGGGCAGGTTGTGACTTTGTGACTTTGCTATCCTGGGGGAAAAAATGGACGGGACACTGCTGGGAAGTTGGTTTTCGGAGTTAATAAATTAGGCCTATGTAGTATCGGATCGGTGCACACGTGTACGTGCCGATACCAAATACCACATTTTAGTATTGGAGGTATTGCTGATACAGAAATTGATATCGGAAAAACTGATAGCACACGCAAGTACAGCATATTTTACCTAAACAAAGAAAGGACATTCAAAAAGGCACTTATGATGCGTTTCACCAAACGCCTATCTATGGTGTCATATCTCTCTTCTAGACCCCCTAACAACAGATATTCCATATTGTACCTTTAATTGCCTTGTTAACCCATCTTAAAACACACTTCATTCATACTCAACAGAAACAAAATACAACTCACCAAAACTGTTTTGGTTAATCACTGTTCCAACAAACACCAACTCTAATATCTCAGTTACATGTAAAAATATTCTGGCTCTACACACTGTTACTTCCGGTCTGATGCCTCTCTTGCTCCTCTCCCGCTTTACGCCACTTCTGACCCTGCTGTGTCTTTGTTGGTCGGTGTCAGAGTCCTGGCTGGAGCCGCATCATCCAACATCATCACCTCTGTACTGTATGTGCTCAAACTGGTCAATACCAAACCCTTAATTCACTGGGTTTGATGTGAAAATATGTTTGCTCTACAGAAATGTGCCACATGTCGAAGTATCCTTGAGCAATATACTGAGCCCCCAAATTGCTCCCGATGCCGTGCATCGGTGTGTGAATGTGTATGAATGAGTTAGTTTCTGTTCGATGGACTTTGCCATTCACTGTGTGTGAATGTGTGTGAAAGGGTGAATAAAAGCGCTTTGAGTGGTCGGAAGACTAGAAAGGCGCTATACAAGTACAGGTCCATTTACCATTTACCATTCTTTCCAGCTGGACAATTTGCGCCACCCACTGCTTTTCTCATGAACTCCTAATATTTGTTGGTGGATTGAAACTAAATTTGGTTATTGAATCTTTTGCATTAATAAGTTTCCGTTCAGCAGCTCACTTTCACTCAGATGTCAGAGGATCCTTAGACACACCACCAATGACAGATGGTAGATTATGTATCTGCAGCAAATTTTTCTTCTTAGTTCATTTTTTTAATTGCAGAAACAAAAACTGCAGCTTGGCTTTATTCACTGTGTGCTTCTTCCAGCTGTGGTTGCTGTAGGGGTCAGTTAGATAAGATTCAGACAGCTCATCTACATGGCAAACTGCCCAAAAATACACTCACTGCCTCAAGGCAAGAAGTTTCACTTAGTGGTTTTATTTTTTCTTCAGGTAGCTCAGTGTGGAAAGCCTTTTACTTCACACAAAACTTCTATCCAGAGAACGAGACGGTCTGTTTCCACACTCATGTCTGCCTCTGCACGCCAGACTATGTGACCTACCACAATCCTCCACTGCTCTATGATCTCTCGAGGGACCCATCAGAGACCACGCCGCTGACTCCTGACACCGAGCCGGCCTTTTACTCCATCCTTGCTGTGATGGAGGAGGCCGTGGAGAGGCATCAGAGGTCAGTAAAGCCTGTGGAGAGCCAGATGTCTGCATGGAACGTGATGTTGAAGCCCTGGCTGCAGCCCTGCTGCTCCACACTCAGTCAGCTCTGTCAGTGCCATGAGGACGAATAGGGTGTCATCAGGGCTACAAAAGAAGATAATTTCAACGGTTAACAATGACAATGAACTAGTAACATCTGTGACCTCAGAATACGGTAGCCAGATTACAACAAATATCTGTAAAACACAGTTTTTAACATCGAATACGAAATTGTCCCGGTTTTCAGTACAATTTAGAATAAAAATTATAACTTTATACTTGTTTTCATTGCTTACATAGAGTTTAGCATGTTCTGTCCCACTCATTATTAATTACAAATATAAAAACATAAACGATTCACCACATGTCTAAATTCAACTGAGTCTGAGGGTGACATGCAGCAGGGTCGCGGGTCAGTATCGCACCAGGGCCACTGCAGTCTAGACTCAGCCTACATGGGGCATGCTGTCTGGGCATCCTGAAAATTGGTCTTTTCTTAAGAGCTCCAGGACGCTTACTCCTTTATAAAGTTCCCAGCAACCAAAATGCTGCATTTATGCTGTGAGTGTTGTTGAGATGTGTGCTTGATCTGTGTGCTATGGGTTAATATAGTTGTCCCCCATCCTGATGAGGACACACATGTGCGTTTTTACATTCATTTGCTGAAAGTGGAAAGGTTTTCTGTGCTCACTAAAAGAGAGACATACTTACAAATAGTCTGCTTAGAACAGTAATGTGTGTCTGATACGCTGAAAGAGTCTACTCCTTCTACCTGAAAAATATCTGTGAATATGCTAAATTTGTTCATTCCTAAAGATTTCGTGCTGGACACAAGAAGTCCATTCTCAATGTATGTGCACTGGTGGCTTCAAGTAAATGGTAAATGTTCAATGGACCTGTACTTCTATAGAGCCTTTCTAGTCTTCTGACCACTCAAAGCGCTTTTACACTTTTCAAGTGTCTATGTCACTTGTTTAAGTTGCATACTGGACCAGGATTTGACTTCAAGACTATTCGTGATGTCACAAATTATGCTCGTAGCCTTAAAGTCAGATTTTCAGTGAGCACAGAGAAACTTGCCTTCTCCTCATGCACAAGCCTTACTCAGGGTTAACTTGATTGAACTAATTCTATAAGCTGTTATGAAACTGAAAATTCTTTTTTGACTAAGCCTGAGATGGGAAACTCAGATTTCAGGTCTAGGCTTGAGGTCTGTTAAACCTGCTTTCTGACACATGGCCCTGCAATCAGGACATAGCCTAGCTTAGCAGGGAAAACTGCTATCCTGGCTCAAGCTGTAAAACACCTCTAAAGCTCACTTGCACATTGTATCTGGTTTGTTTAATCAGCAGACCCATCTGTGCCACATGGTTCTCATTTTTTTTTTTACAGCTTTCACCATCCTGGGCTTTAGTTGTTGTAGTGTGTGTTGTCAGTATGTTTTGTACTATCGTGTAGCAGGATGCTGCAGTGCACTCTTTGAACACCCCTGATGTAATAAAGAGGCTGTTTCAAGTTGGAGCATTGATTCCTTCTTATATTGGACAAAAACAAATAGTGTCTGAGGGGTCTTTGCAGACTGTTACATTGCAGTTCTTTTTTATTTAAAGCAATGATCAATAGTTTTTATATTAAAGCAGCAGTAGGTAACTAAATGTACTTTTGTCATATTTTCTGAAACTTTAACTTTATACTGACAGTAGAACATAAGACAGATATTCTGTGAATTGATCTGCTCCTCCTAGTGTTCCTAATGAGATTTTCATGAATCTGCCGGGCCTGAATAAAAACAACCAATCAGAGCTGAGTGGGAACGACAGAGGCACCATTCAGCTCAATGTAGCATGTAGCTAAATGATTGTGAAGCTCAGTTTGAGATCCTTGTAAAACATGAAGCAACATCAGTTTGACATAGATTTCACTGCAGTTCTTCGGCACTACTGCCTCTGCAGCTGATCCTGTAACAGCAGCACTGCACATAACAGCTGTGATAATATCAGAAGCTCAGCAGCAGTAAATTAGCAGCTGACCCATCTGAACTTTGCCTAGCAGTTTCACCACTAACCTCCACCAACAAACCAGAGCAGTGGCGTTTTCTTCGAAAATGAGGGAACCAAAAGACCAGATTGCTTCCTGGTAAGACACTTGTTTGTAATGAAAATATCCGGTGGAGTTGTTGTCACATCAGTAGTTTAAGTCCCAATCCTTTTTCCTGAAGGGACCCCTTTTAATCATTGAGAAAACTGACAATCCCTGATCAAGTGACATATTTTATGGATATTTCATATTATATTTAATACATAACAATAACATTACAGAACAACTGATTAACTTTACAGTGAACCCAATAACTGCAGGATGTTTATGTAAAATTAGAGATTTGGATGAATTTAGAGCTGATTATTTCTTGTGAATTAGTTTTTTAACAATCATACATTCTTAATAGGCTTCTTTTTTTGAAAAATTTAGTCTTTTCTTCTCCCTGGTGCATGGCTATTGTTCTTTTAGATCTTCAGTTTTAACTGTGTCCTTTTCTAACGCAGGACGAGGCTGGGAAAGAAAAACTTAGATGCATAGAATAAGAATGAAAGTCTTCCTGATTGAACTCTCTAAGCTTCAGTTGACTAGACTTTCACACTGGACAGCTTACAGAGAAGTAAACAACAAACATCCCTCCATACAGTACATACATATATATACAGTGTAGAAAAAAATCATGTAGTTGTTATGGCTGTAGTTCCAAACCTGGGGGTCACGCCTTCTTGATTTTAAGGGATGTAAGCAAAGTTAACTTACACAGTAGGTCACATATCTCAGCATTTTGTTCATTTCCGTGAAGAAAAAATTTAATTGATATTTTTAAAGTTTAGATTATTATTTAAGATATAAACTAAGACTTGAACCTGTACACAGTTTGTCAAAAAAGAAGCCTTTTAAGTACGCATGATTGTTGGAAAATATAGAAATTCATAATAAAGATTTCAGAAACTTTTTATACAATTCTGTCTGACAATTTATGTATTTATTACGATGCATTATTTCCTGTGAATGTTGCATCAGCTTCACAAAAATTATCCAAATCACTCGTTTTACAAACACCTCCTGCAATTATGGAGTTCATTATTTGGATTCATTGTACTGTTATTGTAATACTTTAAATATAACATATCTATAAAATGCCACTGATGTCAGGGATTGTCAGTTTACTCTATGATAGAAATGGGGTCCCTTAAAGGGAAAGGTTGGGAACCACTGTATTATGTTACTGGGTTCATTTTCTGGCTGAGCCCTCAGGAAACACAGGTTTGTTTTGGCAGTATGGGAGCTTGTTGGTGTTGTTTGTTTATTAGCTTCAGTAAGGGCAGCTCTCATACCTGCTGGACTGCATGTTTGTAAGTCTCATACAGACCTAAGAGGATTTTTCTTCCAGTCCATCATCTATGGGCTCTTTTTTTACTGCATTCAGAACTAGTTTTTAAAACCAAGTATACCGTTTTTTTCATGATGACAGTTCAGACTGTGTCTCTGCAGTGACTCAGTTTAGCTCACGCTTCACAAATGTTCACTTCTGTGAGCTGACACTCTGCTTTTCAGTGGATTTGGACATGCTTATCAGAGTGGTAACACATTGCAGGTGCGAGGAGTTTTGCAGTACCATACAGTGAAGTCAGCAGCTGAATAATTACACCAATAAATGGGATTTTTTTAGCTGGCCAGTTTCCAGACAGCAGGACCCTTCAGGGTTTCATTACTGAGGGGGAATTTTCCAACAAGATGAGCTGAAACAAAACGTATAAAACACACAAGCTGGGGAATCTTCCGCCCCGGGTGGGAACTGTAATTTAAGGGATGCCTTAATTGAGCCTCATTACCAGAACCAGCAGGTGGTCTTACATAATACCAGTGGGGAAACACTGTTTGGTACATCTGTGTGTCTGTGTTACGAAAGCTATTTTAAATGTCGATATTTCTTTTTTTATGTTAATAATGTATTTTTATGATACTTCATATACCATACCTGAGTTTCAATACAACAACGCTGAATCTTTATGTAAAATACAAACTCTTAATTTATCAAGACAAGCAAAGGGTCAAAGTTTATTGTTGACCCTGAAAATAGTAGCTTAATGGAACGATTGCATCTCAAGGTCTCTTGGGTACATGTGATACAACTTAAAGCACAGGAAAAAGCAAAGTAAATCAACTTTGAGTTGGGATTGATTTGACAAAATGCTATTTTCAAGAAGGAACTAGCAAAGAAATTATATAACTATAGAGTTAGATAATTAGACAGCCAGGAAAGTTAAGTCTCATTCCCAGGTTGTCAGATAATCGACTATCTTCAAGCAACCAACCCAATGTGTCTTTCTGTTTTTCTTGGTTATGATAGGTTGTTTTTGTTCAGCTATAGTGGATTCTTGCAAATGCCATCAGGAGCACTAGAAGGAGCCAGAGGAACCAGATTTCTTCACAAATGATCTGTCTCATTTACTACCGTCAGCAAATATCATACAATTTTATTTTTATAATAGTTACCTACTGCAGCTTTAACTTATGTAACATACTTAAGTTATATCAGGTACGTTATTTGAATGACATTAGCATGAGAGGGATACGTCATATTTTGAAGCAAAGGGCCACTGACTAAGTGGCAGTATTTGAGGAGTTGGGAGACTTTTTGATCATTTCAGCTGTCGTCAGTTATGATGATTGTGGGAAACACTTCTTAAGCTGTAAGACGCTTCTGGGAAACGAGGCCCTAGTAAATCCCCCCGTCCCAACTGTCATTTCACAAACTGCAAAAAAGTATCGATAACCAATTCCAAGTCCTACAGTCATTCTTTTCTACTGATATGGTGTAATAAATTAAACAAAAGTCTTAGTTCCAGTTGGTGCCTTTTGAGCATTAACATCCTGACTGTGTATAGATAGTGCAACATAATGAATTTGCCTCCTTCATGAGTGAAGCAGCAGGCTGTACGTCTCCCTAGAACATGTGAGTCTGTCCTGAGGAAGGAGCAGCTCTCACACACCAGTTCAACTGACTGAAAACTGATATGGAACCTGCTCACATCTCCTGACGCTGGAAGAAATCAAACAGAAACCCAGCAGCAGAGAAACCCAGCGGAAACGTCCGGCACTTCAAAAGCGATGCTTCATCCGTGTGTCCTGAGGGAGCTTCCAACATCCATGACGGCAGCATGGACTTTCTGTGAAGTGCTGCGATATCCAATATATTTATTTTTTCTCACTGCTTCAAGCTGGGGGAAATTAAATGCCTCCTTGGAAAATTGATGAAGAATCCATGCTCACATGAGGGCTTTTCATCATGTTCAGCTGCTGTCACATAGAGCAGATGAAAAGGTCCAGAATGTGTGTGTGATAACACTTATCTGATTGAAGCTCACAATGACACACACACTCTTTCATGCTCTGCTTTATAAATATAGACTGAGGCCTTGATCCCAGAAGAAAAACAGGCATCTTAAGAAATTTGCCAAACAAACCAATACAGGTGATGTTTACAGATCAGTCAGTCTACACAGGGCTGAATCAATGTGTTTGAAGTTTTTCTGTAACATCACCTCTTGATATTTTTGGGGGAATTTTATTTTTTTAGAAAATCAAACCAGAAATAAATACAGTAAAATCCATAAAATTCATTCACATTTCTGTAAATGGTACTTCATACTTCTTAGAGTCCGTTCGTGCCACAAGGGTCAGGTCATCCAGTCCTCTCTCTTCAGGAACCTCACTGCATCATTGAAACCTTCTTCACATAAAGACTGCATGCTGCTGGTGGATGGTGGGAACAGAGCCTGGTTCAGACGTTTGATGTTTTCCATAGAGAGCTGAGGAAAGCCAAGAAAGTGCTATATTTAGGTCCAATTTTCAAGAAAATTAGAAAGCCTTTGTTTTCATTAAAACAAATGGAATTTATTATTAATGCCAATTAATAGCGGCTATGGAAATGCTACTGTGTAACCCAGAGATTCTCAAACATTGTCATAAATCACAAAAATACACATAAAAGGCTGTTTTTGACTAAAGGTTAATATGTAAATTTCAGAAAACCAATGTTAACAATGACACCAGTGGGCATTAATTGAACTGCAGTCAGCATCCAGTTGCTTGCACTCACACTTACACAACAGCGAGCATCATGCATGACATCAGCCAAATGTGATATACACAAGACTGAAAGCTGGAAAATAAATTACAATCATTTAGAAGAATGTTACTATCTACTCTTGCCTTGCTCTGGACTAGTAAAAAGCAATCGTTAGCTTTGTACTTTTACATAATGTAATAGTGACATTATTGTGGGCTGAAATCTACCGTTTGTCATTATCATTGACATATTAAAAAAGATGGATGTCGCATCTCCACTTCCTCTCACTGTACAAAAATTAAGCCAAAATATGCTGGATATGGCCACTGCCATCGTTTGCCATTCAGAGTCAGAGTCTGCGCAGTACTGATTGGAGTTGGGGCTGCGGTTTTGAGCATAAAACCATATGATGATACCATATGACCATAAAATGATGACCGCTGACAGGTGAAGTGAATAACATTATCTTGTTATCATGGCACCTGTCAGTGGGTGGGATATATTAGGCAGCAAGTGAACATTTTGTTCTCAAAGTTGATGTGTTTGAAGCAGGAAAAATGGGCAGCATAAGGATTTGAGCGACTTTGACAAGGGCCAGGGCAAGATGGTTGGATGACTGGTTTGGAGCATCTCCAAAACTGCAGCTCTTGTGGGGTGTTCGCAGTCTACAGTGGTCAGTACCTATCAGAAGTGGTCCAAGGAAGGAAAAGCAGTGAACCAACGACAGGGTCAACATATCCACTCAGATAGTATTTTACTAGCGATAACATTACTGAGCAAGCAAGCTAAGGTCAGCCAGCCAGCCGCAACCCAGCCACACTGAATAACATTACCTGGCCCCCGCAACCCACCGTGCCAGCCGATAAGTAACCTACAAACAGCAAGCCTGCCTAAAGTTTGGTACAAACTAGCTGATGTTATCCACTGTCAAAATACAGTTTTTTGCTACATTAGCTATTGAGCTATTGTAGCTATTGGGCAAAGCTGACATCTGGAACCAGTTTTGAAACTTGCCTGATCTAACATAGGGCCAGCTATGGTCTTACAGTTGGCTGAGATATGGCTATGTCTTAGGCCATGTGCGGCTCCCAGGTCTGTACCACCTGTGGACCATAAATCATTGCTGTAAAGTGGGCTTTGTGGGCTGTCACTGCGGCAGGAAAATTCTTCTATGTGTTGTATCATACTTAGAATTCTGGATACTACAACTTTAGACATACACACTGCATATCTTATGTATTCCATTTATTACATCACAGCAGGGCATATTTCAAAATGGCTTGTTACTATTGTGCTACATTAGACATTAACAGTTAGCTGGGAGAAATGGCTTACGGCAAAATCCATCCCTAAATTAGACAATATTTTCAAATAACACCCTTAGGTATGTCAGATCTTTCAGACCAATTTGATGAGATGATCCAGTACTCACCATTACGTTCATATTGGCCAGTCTAAGTTGAGTATTGAAGCGCCCCCCGTGGACCGGACACACGTCCTGCAGTCCAGCAAACGGAGACACAGTGATGGTTCGTCCCACAGGCAGAATTGGAAGGCTGTCAGTGAAACCTCCATCAATCCATTTCTAATAGAACAAAACCAGGATACGAAAACTGACAGTCATCCAGGTAGACGAAGGTAAAAGGATTTGCTTTAATAGAGCTTTTTCCACAGCAGCCATTTTTACATGAAACAGTGATGATACTAACTAATGTTTATTCCCATTCAGGTCAGAGTCAGGGTGCTGCTACTGTGCATGCTGGCTCACTTGAAAGGCTCTACTACACTAAATGGAACAGAGCCTGTGTTTACTATTTCATGTCACAATGGCTGCTGTGAAAAGGTCTAGTGTTTTAGACTTGATTTACACAATTTTACTATTTGCATTTGGGGAAACCCCAGAGAAAAAGCCGAGCAGTGTGTTCTTGTAATTGAACATGTAAATGTAAATGGGTAAGGATGTGAACTCACCTGTACTTGTCCTTTCACACAATGATTCCAAATACATATTTTTCACAACAGACATTTTGACTTGTTATAGTAAGAAAGTCCCAGGTGTTACTAAGACCAATTACAAGTTACGTCACTGCAGTTGCGCGTGCATTGTGGTGGCAAAAAAACACGCAAACAAGTGGAGAGGGAAAGGGAAGCAGCTAAATGGGATTAAAGTGGATTATTCACCCATGTGCTTTTCTACTGTCACATGTTCAAATGTCTTCAGTGAAAAGGGCTACCAGCCTAAAAACATTTCTTGAATGTATCCTGCCTTTCAAAGAAAACACATATAGACAGAAATATATTTATATCAGAAATTATTTACTTTTACTTTGAATGAATGGACTGTACTTTTATAGTACCTTTCTAGTCTTTCGACCAGTCAATGCGCTGTACACTACATGCCACACTCACCCCATTCACACACTGATGGCAACTGGTGCCAACTGCTCACCAGAACAGAAACTAGCCATTCATACACACTCAAACAGCATCGGGAGCAATTTGGGGTTCAGTGTCTTGCTTAATGACACTTCGACATGCAGCGAGAACCCGGGGATTGAACTGCCAACCTTCAGGTTAGTGGACGACCCGCTCTACCTCTGAGCCACAGCCGCCAGATTGACGCAGCAAAAATGCTTAATATTGTGCGTTTTGTCGGACTTTTCCTAAATACCAGTTTATTTTCAGGAATGATGGAGCACATCAAATTAATGAAACAAAGATATTTTAAGTTAGAGACGCAGGACCTGGAATATCTCTACTTCATGCAGTTGAAATACTGAATGAGGCCATTACCTGTCCTCTGAATTCCACTGGTTTGAGTCCAGCATAGATGGGCACATAGCTGCTGGCCAGTAGAGCCTGAGGAAGTTCAATGTGTGGGACAATTTATCAGTAAACGTTTATTGACCCACAGTCACATGACACAATGACTCTTCAGCAGGAAGTAGTTGAACATTTAACACTTTGGCCTCGTCCACATCAAATGCGAACAATACTTTCTTTAGGTGTCAGATAAAAGAGAGACAGCAGAGTCAAACCCTTTTTGTGCCACTGCTGATATACAGTATGTCGACATTACTCACACAAGTATTGACTTTGTTATTGCCGTTTTCTGATCAAAGCAATAAAAAAAAAACACTACGCGCTAGAATGAAGCAAAACAACGGTGTAAAAGAATCATAAACATTTATGGCAGCGTTTTAAACTGAAGGGATCAGCATTATGTTTAGAGAGGTGGTATGTACCTTTATGAGCTCCTCCCTGGAGGTAAACCTGGATACGACGTGGTTCTTGCCACTTCTGAAGTGTGTTATTGAAACATGGAGGCGGTCGGTGGCCAGACTGTGAGCCTCGCTGGGCAGAATCTCTTCTATCCCCTCTCTGGAGAGAATCCGCACACAGATGCTCATTTGTCAGGTTTTTAATAATAATATCCCCACAGGGCATCGTAAACGCAGTGCTTTTTACAGCAACATGTAATTATTACTCAATCTGTTGAACATATACAGAACCACCAAAGCATACGAATGAAGGTAACTGTAACAGTATAGTCAGCTCACCATTTTTTCTCAAAGCACAATGCTTGTGTTTCAAGGCTTATTGTTTTGTAAAATTTGTATTCCTTTTTTATAATCAATGCAAAATCCTTATCCCCACAAAACCAACCTGACTTATACTTCAGAATGTCCTTGTGAAGGTAAAGAACATCTATATGAACTTGGTTGGACTGAAGGGCAACACACACTGAAATGACACTGATATTTAGATAATACAGCAATCAATTTGTGATCTTCACAGTGTGTATCATCTGTCGTCTTTGCATCAGGCAATATTGAGCATTATACAACCCTAATACAAATCTGATATTTTGTTACAGTATTGACACGACACAAATGACTGCTCAGCGAGGACCTATTGTGCTAATTTCCACTGGCACTCAACTGGAGTAGCTTTGCATTATTCACTCTTCAAAAACATCCATATATATCTTATACTGGCTGTTAATGCAACCACTCAGTCCATCCTCTGTCTGACACAAGGTGTCTTTATCTCTCTCAGTCATTCCCTGCCTGGAACAGATAACCATATAAAGAAATATGTAACTAGCAGACGCTGACGACTCATGTCATCTGGAATAGACAGTGGAAAGAGCAGTCTGAATACTGACCTTTTTGCTCACAGGGATTACCTTTACATACATTTATTTCATTATATGACTTGGCTTTGTTTATTATCATCTGACATGGGGACATTATATATATGACAGACATAAAGCATAATTGGTAGGGTGTGTATTGGCAAGAATCTGGCAATACCATATGTATCAGGATACAGGCATTATGATTCAATATATTGTGATATATTGTGAAACTGTAAGCAAAGTGATATATTGTGATTAAAATAAAAAACTGAAGAAAACTAATAGTACAGCCATATACACTGTGTTCCAAATTATTATGCATATACTGTTTTTGTTCTTTTTTCCCTAAAGAGTCTATATAATTGGCAGTCAATAGGACTTTTTTTTATTATTATTTTAATTATATTGTAATCTGGATTTGATTAAACACAATTACCAATGATGACAATGCCATTTTTTGGCAAAATAATTAAAAATGCAGTGTTCCAAATTATTATGCAAAACAGAGTTTCAAAACACTCAATAGTTTCTAATGGATCGAGGGGTTCTTGGGACTCCAGAGGCACCAGCAGCTTCAAATACCTGTTCGCTACTCATCAGTGGCTTTTTCACAGCTGCTCTCTTAATACGATGGATTAGCCTTACAGAAACGTTCCTTAACACGCCTTTATCTGAATGAACCCATCTGCGCTCTGAATCAGATACAAATCTTTTCACAGGACGATGATCTTTCTTAATATTTCGTAAGATATCCAGTGGTTTCATACCTATTCAATTCAATTCAATTCAATTTTATTTGTATAGCGCCAATTCATAACAGAAGTTAGGGGTAGGTACGATAGGGGACAATGAGCAGTGATTATAGTAATAATAGTATCTGTAGTAATAATAATAGTAATAATAATAATAACAGTGATATTAGCAATGGGAGTCAAGCAGGACCATGGCGGGAGGCTCCACCAGAAAGATACTGCACTATTTCACGCTTTTCATCTGCAGAAAGATCTTTTTTCCCCCCATATTGCATGAAACCTGTGTCTTGCTTAATAATGTGGAACAACATCCTTAAGTAGTTTCCCATTAATTAGGCTCACCTGGCAAACTAATTGAGACACCTGTCTGAGATTGATGTCAGTGATCTGAACAGACATGGGAAGCAGCACAATGGAAAACTTTCATTGAAAAACAAAAAATCAAATGTTTCTTTAATTGAATTTTGCATAATAATTTGGAACACAGTGTATATACAATTGTGGGGGGTGGGGGGGGGTTACTTTTTTATGCAACCAGAGCAGTGGGATCTGCATTTATATTTATCACAGGCTATAATGTTGGATGTTATGACACTGCTATCTAAAGGTTGAGGGACAAGAATAAATCTGGGTCTGGCTTTTAGTCGTTGGCGGAAGCTTTGCGAAATAAAAGGCTGCAAGCAGATGGCGAGCTGATGTTCTTTCTGTTGGACTAGTCAGTAATGTTCACTGGCTTGCCGTGTCCTGTGTTGTTGCACTTAATGTAATGTAACGATTGATGTTTGGCTGTGATAGCAATGTTGCTGCCTTGCTAATTTTGCACTTGTGCAACTGTCCACATTCACCACAGTGTACTGCAACCGGGGGCACCAAATCACAACAAATACCAAATCTTACCTACTGTTGCTTTAAGTGTGTGCTGTGTAATTACCGTAGTGTGAGCATGAAGTTATATCCTGGTGTGACGGCTCCCAACGGCTGTCGTCTCACACTGTCAGCGAACCCGTAAGTGAACTCTTTACAGTGCTGGAGCAGAAGGAAACAAACACATCACACCTAATGCAGTTACACTTGGTTTATCAAGGTTGATTCAGTCACTGAAGCCACAATTACAACTCACACACAAATTAAACTGCTTCACATTTCAGGTTTTTGGATGCTTAATCTGGTTCAGACACAGCTTTATTGGCCAAGTATATGTACACAAACAGGGAATTTGATTCTGACTTTAAGTTGCTGTCAGTGTATACAGAACAACTACAGGAGGATTTTAAGACATACAGATAAAACTGTATTCATGTGTGACAATGTTAGTTCCCATAGTAGCCATTTCATTGTAGTGAGACCATTTCCTGAAACTTAAACCCCACTGTTTAAAATGGTCTACTGTGACCTCTAGGATAATCACAGCTCATGAAACTGTAAAAGCACAAACTAGAGACAGAAGGCATCCTAGCTATGTTGACCAGTGTGTCTCAAACTTTTTACACTGCATACCATACTGTGCCAATATTAGGTTCTCCAAGTTGCACCATTATGACCAACGTTAAAATAAAGTAGCGTAGGCGGGCCCTATTCAGCTACGGACAGTTCACGCAGGATGCAACTGTATTCTAAATAATAAGAGACTTTATTGTTGACTGTTGTTGAATCCTGAACGGAACCGATAGAAGAACCAGCTAATTTGGCTAATTTCACTCACTATCTTGTGATCGCATTTTAGCTCGTAACTAATCATTGATGTTTGCATGCGCCACATGCATGAACGTGACTATGTAGCAAGTCGATATTGAGAAAATATTACAGGAAATGCAAAACCTATTGTAAATTTCAGTATTTTCATTCAAAATCTTTCTTACAGAAATCTACGAATGTCAAAAGTTTTTGATACTAAATTACGGCATGTTTTTGGTCAAAATTTGTTAAATTTATCACCAAATCTGTGTAACAAATGGTATCAACACAAAAATAGCTGCAATGACTTCTGAGACGCAGTAGATGGGAATGGCCATCATATACTTCCTTTACACAAAATTTGAATAGGTGCCAAACATAACACAATGTTTATTACAAATGTATGACTAGAAAGACTTGAGACACAGTGCTGAGCTGCATCTCAATTGAATCTTCAGGTTCCCAGCTTTCAGATCACTTCTATGTGGCACAAACTATTGACCTGCTACCCCTCCCTTAAGAAGACAGAGATGGGTGTATGGTTGAAAGGGGTGGAGTGCAGTGGAGTCTAAATTATATTAACATTTCTATTTCTATTTTGTTCTGGGACTTCTGGAAACCCCTCAAAGACCCCCAAGGGTCCCCCAAACTCCCCTTTGTTCCCCACTGCTCCACTGTGCAAACTCTTCTCCTTTCTGTGGGCTGCAGGAGGAGGTGAACGATACCTCTAACTTGTCAGGAGCTGTGATCATTACGGCAGCCACCAGGGCCCCGGCCGAGGCCCCTGCACAGGCCCTGAGGGAGCCCAGCAGCTTGTCCCCGTGACGGAAAAAGGCCTCCACAGCACCCAGGTGGTAGATCCCCAAGAAACCACACGCAGCAAAGGACAGGTTCAGGACTGTCATCCTCAACACCTACAAAGACAACAATGACAAGGTAAAAGTCTGTACTTGAATGTGCAAGTAAATTTTACTTTTAGTGGGATCCTATTACATAGGGCTCAACTCACGTGCTCTATTTAACCATGTGTTACAGCTGGAGAACCCAAACTGAAGTAGGCTTATTTGTCACACAGACGTTTGCCCTAATGTCCTCAGTCACCATCATCTTTTCCGAATGTAAACGCGTTTCTCCTAAATGACAGCAGTTCTAAACTTAAACAATGGGTAGTATATTATTATAATGTATTGAATACTGCAATTTAATGATGCACAAACTGTTACCCACACTCCCTTGAATACCACATTTTAAAGTCTACAACATAACCCAATGCATTTCTCTATTGCATTAATTAATAAAAAATTCCATGTCATTAGGATGAGAATCGAGAACCAGATCCAGCTGAGAACCGGTTTCAACTTGTCCAATAAACAGAATCATATGCCTCTCAAGATGGAGCAGTGAGAAAGAAACAGAGAGGGTAAATAAATATCCTATATTATAATAACATTAGTGCCATACAGGCAGATTTAGCAGGTTTTTACTAAGATAATTTAAATGAAAGTGAATACTGTACAAATATTAGGGATGGAAGTCGACAACAGATTCCAAATCAAACAGCTGTTAAACAGTGGAACTTTTACACACCTAAGTCACAGACCTTTTTTCTACTCTGTTTCTACACTGTTCATTCTCCGAGATAATAACAGTTGCGCTGACACTGAAAATGTGTAAAATGTTTTTCACACACAAAACTGATCAAGATTAATAGTGGAACTGATAAAGAACTGGACCGATGGGGCGCTCTAGTAGTTAACCTGGGAGAGCTGGCGCCCCATCGGTCCAATTCCTTATTAGTGTACCGTGGCTGAGTCAGTGGCCATGGGTTAAGTCCAACCTGTGGCCCTTTGCTACATAATGGTAATGGCAAATGGTAAATGGACCCGTACTTGTATAGCGCCTTTATAGTCTTCCTATCTAGTATTCCCATCCCCACGTCACTAGTTAAGTAACCATATAATAAATTGTAATATGCATGGAGTAATGGTATTACACATGGCTTTTCTTTGTTTTGATATTGAAAAACCCCTATCGGTCAACCCTGAACCTTGTAGTAGCATAGAGCACAGGCTGTTTTTTTAAAGGTAACCACAAACCGCTGCTGAAGAAATCCACTAATTCTGATAAGACACTACTACTAGTAGTAATTATATGTTATTCTACAGAAATGTCCACTTTTGGAACAGCAAGATGACTTATAATGTATTTCTTTTTCTAACATTTACACCTGGACTACATTATTATATGGCTCATTGAGGTTATGAATACACAGAAATGACAGCTCATCTTCTTTTGTGCATTAATTTAAAGACAACATGAAGTGTCTTTTTGTCACTGGTATTACATTAATACTTTGGCAACTAGACTTTATGAAATATAATTTCTCAATCTCTTTAGCACATGTAGGTGGAATCACAGGAAAAAAATGTTAATGCAACAAATGAGGAGGTTATCTTTCATTTATCTATCAGGTTTGTTAAAGTGTGATGTTTGTTCATTTGTGCAACCATGAAATTGCTGTAACAATGAAAATACATGAACAGCTATAAATGTGTATTCATAACCTCAATGAGTTAATAACGTAAGTTGTACATTTCTGCAGAATTACCCTGATAGTGATAGTAATAGTAATAATAATTATAATATAGCAGTAATATGGTAATCAAACATGACAAGATCCCACGAGATAACATGTAAAAGATTTTAAGGACTTGTATATTTAAAATGTATTATAGTATTATTTTGTACAAGCTAGGGGATGTATTTCTGTATGAGAGCTGTACATGAAGAGACATGTACAAGTTCACATCAACATAAATGGCTGAAAAGCGATTTCTCTATGTGTCATCAGGCTGGTTGCAGGCTGTACTGAGTTAACTGTGGTTTCTTTGAACTTTCACAGATTCCTGACTCGGTCGCTTCGGTCAAAGTACAGAAAAACAAAGCTAACGTTAGCTAACATTACTGATGTAACCTTTGGTCAGACTGAAGAGAAGAAGAGGACGTACCGTGTTTACGGTCTCAACATGGAAAACATTTAGCGTTAGCTCATTTTAACGGCTATAATTTAGCTATCTACAGAGGTAAAACAACTTGTTACTAGTCGATAAAGGTATATATGTAGCGTTAGTTACAGAACTACCGGTATACTCCCTGCTACATTCTGTCAATGTCTACACTGTAGCGCCCGTCACTGAAAGTCAAGTAGTCCGTGACAATAAACAATACTGTTTCCGCTCACGACTTTCAAAATAAAACTTCCACCTGCATAAGAAATTTTCGAGCCACCCAATGCACCAGTTCACCAGCGACTAACCTTTGTTTGTGTGTGTTTTTCATGTCAGAATGTAAATATCCACCTCTTTTTTCCTTTTTTTCGTAGGGTTTTGCACAATGGGTTTTTCAATTCAATTCAATTTTATTTGTATAGCGCCAATTCATAACAGAAGTTATCTCAGGACATTTTTCAAATAGAGCAGGTCTATACCGAACTCCTCAAACAAATTTAAGTTTAAATAAAACAATAACTATTAAAATGTATGAAGAGAGAGCTATAGTGTAGATCAGTATGGAGCCAGAATGGTGACTTTAAAATTTGGCATCCAAAAAAAAAATTGGAATTGAAAACAAAACCAGTACTGAAAAAGGAAACATTGGCATTGAAATATTTGTATTGAAAACAGTTGTATTGGCATTGAAACAACTATTGGCACTGAAAAAAGAAACTAATTAAAATAATTAAAATCTTAAAATCTTATTATTTTATTTTATTGGGATTATTTTGTATTTTTCAATGACAATCTTCAGATTTTTTCTTCATGTCACTTTTTTTTCAGTGACAGATTTTTTTACAATGTCAGTTTTTTTCAGTGTCACTGATTTTCAGTTTCAACTTTCTGTCACTGTTTTGGCGTAGAGAGGGAGGGGTCTGAGGGGAGGGGCAAGTAGAGCGTGGTTTGCATATAATTTGCATATCGGCATACTCAGTGGCGGATTGGCCATTGGGAGCACCGGGACTGGCCATCAGGAGCACCGGGACATGTCCCGGTGGCCAGTCCGCCGAACCGGCGATTGGCGATGGCCGGGTCACGCTTGATTTTGAAATAAACAATCCGTCGTGCGGCTCATTAGGGTATCTGCCTCGCTGAAGCTCACACGGACTGAGCAGCAACGTTGGGCACAAACACACCCCCTCCTCTCTTTTTCTGAGGCTCTCTGTCACAGCACTGCAGGCAGACACACACCAAGCTGCGTGTAACTAACATAGACACAACATAATACATTATATGAATATTGAAATCCTTGTAGTATATTATTTCATTGAACCTTTATTTAACCCGGTAAAATCCCATTGAGATTAAGAACATATTTGTTGTTTTATGAACATAGCCAATGCATATAAAAATGGTCAATTAGTGAACAGAAACATTTATTTTGTAGGGGAAAGAAACAGAAAAAACTGTGTGTGGAGCCTTTGCTTTATTATTTTACGCTGTTACATCACTAGGCGCCCAACCTAACTCACTCTTGGTGTTGCGTTAATCGGGTGGTGTTGGCCTGCGATGGTATCAAATTCCCGGCCTGAATTATTGTCCCAGTCCGCCCCACTGAAAAGTACGTCTCTTTTCCGGAACCCGCCGTCCGCTCTGAAGCCATGGTGGCATTGCTAAAATGTCCTGTTCACCGGGAACTTCCAAACCGCAAGTAAGTCTGTTCATCATTCAGAGCGGATGGTGGTTCCGGAAAAGAGACGTACTTCTTCAGTCTGACGATTTGCAAATTATATGCAAACCACGCTCTACTTGCCCCTCCCCTCAGACCCCTCCCTCTCGACGCCAAAACAGTGACAGAAAGTTGAAACTGAAAAAAAACTGACATTGTAAAAAAAATCTGTCACTGAAAAAAAAGTGACATGAAGAAAAAATCTGAAGATTGTCATTGAAAAAAAAAAAAAAAAAATCCCAATAAAATAAAATAATACGATTTTAAGATTTTAATTATTTTAATTAGTTTCATTTTTCAGTGCCAATAGAACTGTTTTCAATACAAATGTTTCAATGCCAATGTTTCCTTTTTCAGTACTGGTTTTGTTTTCAATTCCAATTTTTTATTTGGATGCCAAATTTTAAAGTCACCATTCTGGCTCCATAGCTCAGACTTCCTCTCAGACAAAGTTTTTATTATATTTTCGTTGTTACAACAGACAAACGAACACTGAACAAAGCAGACAGAATGGAGGTCCTAAATAAATACATAAATGAAATAAAATAAAAACTAAAATAAATAAAATAAAATACAAAATCTGAAAATAAATTAACTAAAAATAAAACAGGCAGGTGAGTAGGCAAGGCAGGCAAATCAACACATCTGTCTACCAAAACTATCCCATTTTTCTTTTATCATATCATTTTCACAATTTAATCTCCCCAACATCTTCTCGCATGCCACAGTCCCCATCATCTGTGTTTTCCACGTACTCAGTGTGGGAGCTTGGGGTTCCCTCCAACACCTCAGAATAGTCCGTGCACATGTTATTAGGCCAGTTTTTAATATTCTAAAACTGTATCTGTTCAACAGGGGTACCATAGTTCTTGGTGACCTGGGAAGCTCACAATTTAATGATTTACTCATATAATCTATAACTTTTTCCCACAAGGGGAGGATCTTAGAACATTCCCATAATGCATGTGCCACTTTCCACCCCACACTTCCAACATAAATCATTATTAATTAAACCCATTCTGTTTTAAGTCTTGATGGGGTAAAATAATATCTATGAATTATTTTATACTGAATAAACTTGCCTCTGGCCTCTCTTATGTATTCTTCAGTGTTGGAAAGAATCCCCTCCCATGTTTTTACATCCAGTGTACAAGACAGATCTTTCTCCCATATCATCTTGAGATTACTACAACCATTATTACTTGTCCAAGGAC